CCCCCAGGCCGACAGAGGCGTCGCCGAGGCGGGTGGGCGTCCGCGGGCCGCCGCGAGTGGGTGGGGCTCGCGGCGAACCCCGATCGGGTGGGAGGTCCGCGAGGAGCCCGGGGCGAGCGGGCGACCCACGGGGAGCTGCGATCGTTGAGAGTATGCAGGGGGAGCCCCAATCGGGTGGAGTCCCGGGGGTTCCCGTGCCGGAGGGTCCGCGGGGAGCCCGAGGCCGTGGACAGAGGGGGGGATTCCGGGCAGCCTCCGGGCCGGGAGCCGGTGGACCCGGAGGAGCCGCGGGACGGCCGTCGCCGGTCGCGGCGTCCTGGCCCCCGGGACGCCCCTGTAAGGAAGGAGGACACTCACACAGCCCCCGCATGAACCTGGACGCGCCGCTGCCCCTCCTCTCCCACCCCCGCGCCGCTGCACCCTTGAAACTGCGTGCGCTGCGGTCCCCGAACTTCTCACAAATGAACAAAGGAAGAACCGAGCCCAGGGCTCCGGGGAGGGCAGCGTCTGCTGGCCACACAGCCTTCATTCTGGCCTCACTGCACGTAGCCCCTGCCTGGCGTGTCCTCGCCGGTGGCCCGAGCCAGAAGCGGGACTCAGGGCCGCCTTCCTTGCCGCTTCGTGCCGAAGTGGTCAGCCGGGGGCAGGGACGTCCGTCTCGGAGGGGCGGGTGACCGTGATTTAGCCTTACTATGTTTGGGATGTGTTGGACAGTGGGTGTGAAACCCAAATGGTCAGTTCCCCAGGATCAGAGAGATGGAGGCAGCACTCAGGGCAAGACCCAGAAATTTCTGGACCTCTAGTTGTGTCTGAACCAGACGTTTAATCCCCACTCAGCTCCCATCCAAACAGCCCCTTACCTAGGCTCTGCCTCCTTCTTACCTGACACGAACTGACCATACTTATGAGCCAAATACAAATTTAAAAAAGAAAGGGGGAAAAAAGAGTCCATGACAGAGGTGTCAGTGGGAGAACATTCTCTCCGAGTATGTTTGTGTTTTGCTGGGTTCTTTCCCTTGGAGAGACTGATACCATAGGTTGGGTAGCACTTTAAAAAGTTTAAAGAATTTAGAAGTTTCCTCCCATCTGAAGTCTCAAGGTGTTGTTCAGGTTTGTTGCTTCCACCAGCATACCTTGCAGAGGCCCTTAAAAGTCCAAAGCTCCTTGATAAGAGAAGCCCTGCCTATGCAGATGCTGGGCCTGGTTCAATAGTTTTCCCCTGTGAGTTGGCCAGATAGTTTGAATCCTGACTCCACCCCTCCCCAGCTTCCAGTGTTGCACAGCGTGCACCCTCCCTGGGCCTCCTTCAGAGGAGATTTGGGGATTGGCAAAATGTTGGTAATTCACCCAAGCTGGGTGATGGGCATGCGGTGGTACTTTATACCAGTGGCATTCCTGACTAGTGGTGGTCTGTGAACTGTTTGTGACTCATCTGCACGAGCCCAAGGGTTGAGACAGTATTTAGAAACTGATGTTTGACATTTGCTTCGACACAAAGACCGTGTTGGTCTCTCCAGTAATTGCCTTTTATTGGATTCTGCATAAGTCTGGGTCTGTGTGATGATTGGAAATAAACTGGTTCTTCACCACAGACCCTTCGAAATGAAGCCCCACGTTATATTAGTCTTTATTTTTGTGACTCTTTGAAAATTTTCATAATAAACCATTTAAAAACTGGGATATTTTTTAAAAGAAACTTTTGTTAGTGAAAACATAAAGTGAAAATAATTACAATGAGTATGTAGTGAATGGGTAATAGGAAAAATTTACACACGTTTCCATAATTTACAAGTCCTTCAGTAATCATGAAATTGTTTTTATGGTCAGAGAAAAATAAGTATTGGAAGCAAATTTTAAAAAGGGAGACTTACGATGTCTACCCCTTAGAGTTGTTATAGGGATACCATGGAAAATATTGGTCCTGACCCAATTTGTAGTGATGCTTTTAAGTGGTGGCCATTTGCTTTGGATCGAAAACTAATCAACAGCACTAAAGTGCAGTAAGTCAACTGACTCTTTAGTAATTTCATCATCCGAATGTTGAAGTATTAAGGCTTCTATTTGTGATTGTAGCTGCTGCTTAATTTTCCAGTAGATTGGATCTGTAATTGTGCCACAGAATTTTATTACCATGATTTGCTGAGTTGAGCATCCAAAGCTTCTAATGTGCTTAGAGACCACTAAATCCCCAACAACATAAAAACCCTTGCAAATAAATGCACACAAATAACTCCTGTTTGTCCATAACCTCAGCAGTTGAAACTACTAAGTAGCTGGAAGGTTTTGGACAAATTCTATAAATGACAGTCACAGTTGCTATTTATTGGGCCACTCTCTTAGGTCAGCCAGGGTGCTAAGTGCTTTATATAGATTATCTTCCTTAATTTTCTCAACACTTCATTTTCCTCCCAAAGTAACAGCCCCATTTTCCTCCCAAAGAAACAAAACTCTCCTCTTTCGGAAGAGATGGTCTGGGTAGATAAGCTGATGCACAGTATTTACTGAAGAGAACAACTTCCTGGTTATGGCGGATGATTCAGGGAATTTTTGTTTTTTGTTTTGTTTTTTTTTTCTTACCTGCAGAGTGCTGGAGGTGGGTTCATTGATATTCATCATAATTGATATTCATCATAATGACCCATCCGTGGAAAGATCCTGAAGGGTCTTCGATTGTCAAGATTAAATGATTAATCTTAATAACTGTACCTTATTATCTGTATGTGATGTGTGTTGATCAAGCTATGATGTTAAGACCCAGGGTAACCTATTCTTAAATATGTATAATGTCCGACACTCCTGGATCCTGGGTAGATCAGAGGTGGTCGGTTGGGACAGGACAGCGGAACAGAAGGAGCTGTGGTGGTGAGGTGTAGAGGACACACTTGACACCTAGGTTATCATCTCTTCTTACCATTAACAATTTATGAATCATTGCCCCAAGACCATGGAGAAAGAAGGTAGAGTGGGGCTTTGTACAGCCCCCTTAGGACTATGAGCATTTATCTTGTAGGAGCTGGGGTGTCATTAAAGCCCAATGTCTACCTGCGGGGACTGGATTCATTTTCTGTTGTTGTAACAAATGACTACCAACTTCATGCCTTAAAACACACATGTTTATTACCTGACAGCTCTGGAAGTCGGAAGTCTGATGCATGTTTCCCTGGGCTAATATCAAGCTGTTGGTAGGGATGCATTCCTTTCTGGGGGTTCTAGCGGGGAGAATCATTTCCTTGCCTTTTCCAGAGAAACACCCTTGTAAAGAATGACATTGGGCCCACCCAGATATTTCAGGATAGGCTCCCTGTTTTTAGGATCTTCTGATTAGGAACCTAAATTTCACTGCAATCCTAATTCCCCTTTGCCATGGAACCTAATATAGTCACAGGACACAGAAATCGTAGGGGGGACCACTATTCTGCCTTCAAAAGGGTCAGACCGTTGAATACAGTGTTCAGTGCAGGGCGGGGCACCCTGTTGGTGGTCACTGAAGCAAGTGTCTGGGTAACTGGTTGCACTCGCCACCTGCAGAAGCAGCCATTCATCAGGACACCCTGAAATCACCGTGTCATAAAAATTACACTGAGGCAGCGGTGTCTCGTTTGCCTTTCATTCGTGGTCTTGCATTTGCCCGTTAGGGGGAGAGACGGTATCATTTCACTCATGAGGAAACAGGCTCAGGCGGGGTCTTGGCAGGATCCCTTGGCCAGAGATGGCAGGACTGGGATTCCTTTGCCCATAAATTCTGTTCTCTTCCCACCGAGCCTTTGTCAACACCACTGACACAGTGCCCCTAGACATACCGACTCTAGAGCCATCCAGATAAGTCCACGGTCCAGAGTTATCCACCCACTCCCCGCCCCAGCCTCTGAGACCAGAGAAAAGGGCGGACTTAAGTATAAAGTAAGGAAGGGAAGAGCCTGAGCTTTGTGTGTGGACGAAGGCAAGCTGAGGACACAAGAAACTGGCTACATAATCTCTGAAGGAGACTGAGCACCTGCTGTTACAGACGCGGGATAAAACAGCCTCCAAATCGAATGCCACCAGCCTTCCTGGAGCTCACCGCTTGCGTGTCTGGGGGAGACTGCCAGTAAGCTGCTAGCAGTAAAAAGAGGCAGCGATCATGGGGTGCTTACACTGTCCTCAGCGCTGCACATAAAATGAAGTCGTTTGTTCCCTGTCACAGCCTTTTGAAGTCTGTGCTGTCATCATCCCCGTTTTACAGATGAGACAACAGAGACAAAGAGGTTAAACAACTTGCCCAAGCTCGCACAGGGAGTGGGTGGCTTTGAACCTAGGCAGTCTAGTTCTGGAATCCATGCTTCTAACCACTGTGGTGTAAACAAAGGTGGTCGGAAAGCAGGAACGGGGAAGCCCCTGGACGTTGTACGCAGGAAACAGCTCTGATAAGGTGGTGCCTGAGCAGAGACCTGAAGGGTAGAGAGTCATGGCATAGCGGGAAAGAAGGTTCCAGAGAAAGGGAGCAGCAAGGGAGATAGGAAGTGGGAATATGTCCAGTATTTCCCAGAAACAAGGAGACCATACGGGCCGGAATAAAGGGAGTGAGGCCATTCAAGGGCGGGCCTTAGTATGTTACAAGACAGTTCTTCATGAGTGGGCAATCTTTGGTACTTCGCTGGAAATCCACAGTTCTAAGACTTGTTTTCTTCTCTGAATGTGGTGAGACAGGGGATTCCAAGAAACTCAAATATAAGAGCAAAACTGTGGGTCCTCTCTCCCACGCCTCAGTAAAAATGAAAGTTGAAGAAAGTGGAAGGCTCCTCTGTGACCACGGTGCCCTTTTGGTCCACTTGTTGGTTGGGCTGGAAGCCCTTCGTTCATCACTGGGTCCTTTGGTGCTTCCTTTCTTAGCTGAATGTCTAGATGGGGGAGATGGGGGTGCCAGGAAGGATGGAGGGAGAGGAAATTCCTGCTGACCCCTCTCCAGAGATGGAGAGATGGTGAAGGGGCACTGCGGCAGGCAGAATCCCCAGCGATGTCCATGCTGAGCTCCAGAACCTGTGACTATTACCTTACATGGCAAATGGGACTTTGCAGATGTTATTTAATTAAGGATCCTGTGATGGGGCGATGACCCTGGACGGTTGGGCTCCGTGGGCCCAGTATAACCACAAGGGTCCTTGAAAGACGGAAGAGGCAAAAGGTCCTTGAAAGGCAGAAGAGTCAGAGCCAGCGCAAGAAGGACTCAGCCCAGTGCTGCTGGGGGAAGGGCCCACGAGCCAAAGAATGTGAGCAGCTTTCGGAAGCTGGAAAAGGCAGGGACTGTTTCTCCCTTAGAGCTTCCAGAAGGAACGCTGCCCTGCTAACACCTTGACTTTAGCCCAGTGAGACCTGTTTCAAACCTCTGATCTCCAGAACTATAAAAGTATAAATCCGGGTTGCTTTAAGACACTCAATTTGTGGTAATTTATTTCAACACCAATAGGAAAATAATACAGGCAGTACAAGGGGGACTCAGGTTCTTTGATGGGTGCCCGGCTCCAACCAAACTCTCATGCCCGGGGCGCTGCACAGCCCTCCTGGAAGCAGGACGTTCGTGCTCAGCTCAGTTTGGGGTTCCTCTGGGCCATGGCAGTCACAGTGAGCAGGACGTGCCTGTCCGGAGAACAGCCTCCCCCCACACTCTGTCTGTCTTTGGCCCTGGCCTTCATGAGGCCTGGTATGAATTGGGAGAAGTGGTGGTTAGCCCGTTCAATAAAGATCTGGAATGAAGGTCAGCCCAAGCTTGTAGCTGTGGAGACAATGGGCATTCCATAAGTAAACAGTGGCTGCAGACTCTTGGTTTTGCACCTGTCAGAAGGAGAGCTGGCTGGCCAGGCTGTGGGCTCACCTGGTCACTGTTCTTCTAGATTGGATGCACTTACTGAAAATGTGTGGTTTAAATTTCCTGCTTTGAATTCTGGAACAGCATGTTTTCCCAGCCTTTCTTCCCACCTGCTGGGCGTTTCTCATTAATCTTTCAGTCTCAGAGAAACTCATCATTACCGTATTTTCTTACTGGAGAGCAGGCTCTCGAGCTTGCAGTCTCTGGTCCAGTCCTGTAGAGTATCTGCCTAGAGAATGTGTTATCTTGTTTGTAGTTCCCAGACTTCCATGTGCATGAGAATCAGCTGGGAGGCTTGTTGGAAATGCAGATTTCCTGGTCTGGGGTGGAGACTGGGAATCTGCCTTTGAACCATGAAGCCCAGAAGACACATCTCACCCTTCTATGTGTTTGTGGGCTTTGCACACCTGGTTTGGTATAAATGTGTGTAGGTTTACCACATACTCCCTTTGTACTGAGTCTGGGGCATGTCACATGGCCACCCATGTAATCTTCACTCTAACTTGTGGAGTGTACTGTTATTTACTCATTCCTGAAGAAGAAACGGGCCTGACTGTTAACCTGCCCAGCTGTACACTCATTAAAAGTGGAATAGGCATTCTAGTCTGGCCAGACTCCAGCGCCCAGGACCTGTTCATAAGAACTGGAACCTATAGGTGGAAAGGCCGCCCCCACCCCCTCCTTTTTCCCATGGACTGTGTTGATGGTTCCATCTTTAGTCAAAGCGGGGATGAGGGCCAGGGAGATCACGCAATTTCTGCGCTTGAATAAAAACTGAGTTGTATAAATGGTTTGGCACTGTGTATTTAAATATGTTTGTAATTGATTTTTCTCCTTTTGACCCTTCCCTTTCTCGCCCACATCTTCCGCCTCCTCTTATTCTTTGTGCTTTTCAAGACTCTGTTTCCCAGCTGCCTGCACCTCAAAACGTGAAGATTCACCTGTACAATACCAAGCAGGTTCTGAGTTGGGACGCGGTGTCCCTGGGCAATGACACGAGGCCAGTGGTCTACCAGGTGCAGTTCAAACAGTAAGCCGGATGTTTCTGTTTGGTGTCCTTCCTGGGAGGTGGGGGAGTCGAGGAACCCTAGGCCAGCTGCTTGTTCTGCTTCTCGGCAGGACTGTAAACAAATCTACAGGGAGCAGATATTTCTTTCACGTTTTTAAAATCTCCAAGGACAGATTTCACAACCCCCTCCTCATCTGCAAACCATATGGCTTCTTAGTTTGGGGGAAACTCATTCTCTGATTGGTTTCAGGAGAAGCTTATATAAAAGAGCTTCCTGTCTTGAAAGAGCAGGAGGCACCTTTTAGTCTTCCTCTTCTTCAGGTTTGAAAATCCAGCTGCTTTCACCTTATAGGCCACATTTGTCCTAATAAGGAATTTATTCATTTAATTACTAACCGGGTTTCCCATTTTGCCTGTTATTCTGGCTCCTCATCCTGTAGCTCACCTCCTTTTGAAGCTGTTATGTAACACATAGAGGAAGTAGAAAGGCAGAACCCAAGTCCTCAACCGTTGTTTGTTTATTTTGTTAAATACGTTAATTGAAGGCTAAGTTAAAAGTATTGGCTAAGCCATTTTATATTACCAAAACAAAATTAAAAGAAATGGTAACGCTCAGTGCTTGTGAGAATGTGGCTGGTGGTTGTAATGCTAGATCAGGGTCAATTAGCACAGCCCTCTTAGAAAGTAATTCTGTATATTTAGTCATGGAAATGTCCATGTTACTTTTACACTAAGTAGATAATACAACCCCCCACCATCAGGAAAAAAAACTTGCATTCATGAAGCTGTACATTAAAGTATATATTCATCTCCATCAACAGAAAAGTGGCAAATTTATATATTAGGCAACCACTAAAAAAGATAATGTGTGTCAGCTGGTAGCGGTTGCAACTACGTAAAATCTACAATAGAATGTCTTTGATCAAGAACAGGTGAAAAAAGGGGCCGGCTGAGTGGCGTGTTGGTTAAGAGCTGGCTTGGGACGCCAGAGGGCCCCGGTTCGGATCCCGCATATGAGGGCCAGTGACACTGCCCTCTACAGCTAAGATGCTGAACAACAGCTCAACCTGGAACTGGGCTGCCGTGAGTCGCTGGCGACGGCGTAGGCTGCAGCCCCTGTGGCAGTGGGTTGCCATGGGCTACCGTGTGTAGCCAGCGGCCAGCCGCCGCAGTGAGTGGCCGCCGCAGTGAGTGGCCGTCCAGAAGCCGGCGACTGATCTGCCTCTCCCGGGAAGAGCGCAATGATGGTGCCAACTTGGGCCAGTGAAGCAACGTCCTCCACAACTAGATTGAAGAACAAAACGACAGCAACTTGTCTGTTCCCCTTCCCCAATCCCCCAGCACTGTTCCCATCCCCCCAATTCCCCAATAAAAATCTTAAAAAAAAAAAGAACAGGTGAAAAAATTACAGGCAGTTAATTTGTCAGAGGAGTGTGTTCCAGATGATTTATTTTTCATCTTTAAATGTCCATTGTAACAATATGTGCTTAATAGAAATAGATTCTAAACTGGGGGTTGGGGATTATCTCTGAATCATATTTATCTATCCCTCAAGTAATTATAAATTACAAACATGATCATCTCTAATAAATGGGTCAATCCACTGGGACCAACATGGCCCAGTGGAAAATGAAACCATGGGGCCCTTTGTTAAAAAATCATTAAGAATTTCAAGATGGCGGCAGCAGAGCATCAAACCAGTGCCCACCAAGAGCAGGGCTTTGTGCCACCGCACAGGTCACGTGCCCGAAGCTGGCCCTAGTTGGCATTTAGTAAACAATATCCTAGAGCTAAAGAAGATTTCAGTAAGAGGAAGTCACACATGATTTATTGACTAGCATTCCTTAACCTTGAATGGGATGTCCATTTGTGGATTGACAGAGTGCTTGTAAATATTAGAAATATTTTTTTAAAGCTTTTGGCAGTTTCACACTACAGACTAACTTGTTTCACATTGTTTTCTTTTCAGAAAACATTTTGTAGATAGTTTTTCAGGTTGGAGGTTGGTTAGGGTAAAAGAAACAAAGGATGGGGTGAATGGCATGTCCCTGTTTGGAAAAGTTGAGGAGTCATGAAAAACTGAAACTGAGGCTGATTTTGTTTTTGTTTGCAATTGCAGATTTGATGATGGAAGAGGGTTTTGCTTTTGTCGTGTTTTCTATACTTTTACATGTTTGGACATTTTTGTGACATTAAATCATTTAATTTTGAGGCTTATGGGACTTAAAACTTTCCATCCTGTTTGTCTCCAGTAAAGCATTACTATAATTATAAATGAAGGTACCTCTGTTTTGTGACAGTCACAGTAGCAAAGCTAAAATTACATCGAGCACTTTGTGGGTTGCAGACAGTGTGGCCTATAGGCTGTGTTTGGCCCACAGTGTTTAAATTCTTTTTCCCAGTTACTGCCAACATTAAAAAATCTGTAGATTTCACTTAAAAAGAAAAAAACAATTTTTGTGTTTTTCTTGAAAATATAGACAGGCAGCAGGGTCCTTTCTAGGTCACATTCCATCCGGCCTGCTGCCAGGCCAGGACCTGCCCAGTCCAGTCTTTTTAAAACATTTTTTTAATTGCATTTATTTCTGATTTTAGTAGCAATATGTGTTCTCTATAGAAAATCTGGAAAACCCCTAAAAGTTGGGAGAATAAAATTAAAACACTATTGTCGTAACGTCTAAGAATAATCACTATTCTTATTTTAGTGTATTTCTGTAGACTTCTTTCTAAATGCATGCGTTTGTTTGAAAATCTACTGGTGGTGTGTATGTGAAAATGAAACAAAACTGGGGTTACACGTTTGGGTCCTGCATCCTATTTTTTTTCTTCTTCTTCTAACATAGTTAAATGTGTGAGCATTTTTTTCATATGATTATTTCTGTGTAAACATTTTTATTCCATGTTGTCCATTTTTGGAAGTGATCTAGCAGAGGCTGAACAGTGAGGCTGTAGTTGTCCTGTTGTTTACCAGATACTTACAAGGTGCTTACTCGGCACAGGCCCCTGGCCCAGGCGCTATCCTGATGGCCACTTGTTCCACCTTTATGGCAACTCTGATAGGCAGATACTATAGTTTATCTCCATTTTATAGATGAGACTCGGGTACAGAGAGGTGAAGTAACCAGGATTTGAACGCAGATAATCTGACTCCAGAGTCCATGTTTTTAACCACTATCCTATGTTGTTGTGATGAGGGTTGCTTTCAAAATTCGGTAAATTCAGGGGCTGGCCGAGTGGCTCAGTTGGTTAAGAGCTCACTCAAGAGTGTGAGCTCTGAGCAACAGGGCTGCCGGTTCGATTCCTGGCCCAAGCTGAGCTGGCAACAGCTGCCAACAGGTGGCAGGATGGCTCAGCTAAAAAAAAATTAAATTAAATTTTTTAATAAAACAAAATTTGGCAAATTCAGGAACAGAGGCAATTCCTAATGGGTACAGCATACCCCCCAATCTGAGAGGGGTTGCTGTGGTTTGGGACCCCCCTCCCCATTAGGGTCTGTGACCCTGGGCCTTGGAGGTATGTGACTATGGTGGATGTCTTCTGTGGAAGCCCTGGCTCTGCATCTTGAGGTGGCTTTCATCTTGTCACTTGCCATTTCAACAAGAGATAAGTCTCCAGCCAGGGTCAGAGGTATGCTTAGAAGCATGTGCATGAACGTTGGTGGCAGTGATCCCCAGTGTTGCTGTCCAAGGCATAGCCTGTCCCTAGAGGGGACAGTGAAGCTACCAGCAGCCACATCCCTGGCTTTTCTCAAGTCTGTCACCTAAGACAAGGACAGAGATCAGAGCTGGGAACTATAGAGTCTCATGTGGGGATGTGGCATTAGGACCCTGGGGAATGCATGGTCACAAGGCTGCGTGGCCTTGTATAATATTTGGCAGGGTTTTCATATGGGTGAGGCAAGACTGTCTTTAAATGGGCAGCTATGGGGTGAAAACCCACTCCACACTAGCAGGAAGCATAAATGTGGTTTGTGTGAACACAGTATCATTTTTAAGGCACAGGCTTACAGAGGCTCAGTTTGAAGCACTAAAACCAGGTATAGCCACCATTCTGTTGTCTGTATCTAGGCCTTTGTTTTATTAGTTCATTAGTTAATTTTCATTTTATATTCCACATATGAGTGAAATCATAGGGCTTTTATCCTTTTCTATCTGACTTATTTCACTAAGTTAATAAGAATAATAATAATAAACTTTAAAAAAATCGGTTGTAGGACAGAATGGGAGAAAATATTTGCAAACCATATATCTGATCAGTGACTTGTATCCAGAATATATAAAGAATTCTTACAACTTAACAATTAAAAGACAACCCAATTAAAATATAGACAAAGGATTTGAATGGACAGTTCTCCAAAGAAGAAATAGAAATGCCAACAAGTACATGAAAATACGCTCAGCATTATTATTCATCTGGGAAATGCAGATCAAAAGCACAGCAAACCCACTAGGATGGCTATCATAAAAAAGGTATAACAACTGTTGATGAGGATGTGAAGAAACTGGAACCCTCATACATTTCAGGCAGGAATATAAAATGGCATAGACTCTTTGGAAAATAGTTACAAATAGAGTTACCATGTGATCTAGCAATTCCGCTCCTGTGGCCTGCACAGAATTGAAAACAGAAGAACTTGTATGTGAATATTCTTAGCATTATTCACAATAGCCAAGAAGTGGGAAAAACCCACATGTCTATCAACAGATGAATGAGTAAACAAAACATAGTATATTCCTACAATGAGATATTATTCAGCCATAAAAGGGATGAAATATTGATACACGCTACAGCATGTATCATGCTTGAAAATATGCAAAGTGCACCATGCTAAATTAAAGGAGCTATTCACAAAAGACCACGTCATTTACAATCCCATTTATATGCAATGTCTGGAATAGGCAAATCCATAGAGACAGCAAGTGGGGTTGGAGAGCGATGGGAAGTGACTGCTAACAGGACGGGGTTTCTTTTTGGGATGATGAAACGGTTCTAAAATTGATTGTGGTGATGGTTGCACAACCCTGTTGAATATACTGAAAGCCATTGACTCTTAAACTTTAAATGGGTGAATTGTATGTTATATGAATTATATCTGAATAAAGCTCTGGGGAAACCGTTATGTGTGATAGAAAAGGGAATTCTGTGAAGTGAAATCCTGTTTTTCTTTCTAGCTCCCGTAATGAGTGGTTGAACGTCATCAAAGATGTGAATTGTTCGAGGATCACCTTGACAGTGTGTAACTTCACCCCAACCAGCCACTTGAAGGGTTTCCCACTATATTTCAACGTCTCTTTACGTGTCCGAGCTGAACTGGAAGATCGCGTTTCTGACTGGGTGACAGTGCCTTGGTTCCAACACTATCTGAATGGTAAGAGAACTTGGGTATCAAACTTCCTTTATCATTGCCAGGTTTCCTTCACTCTTTTTCACTGAGCAATATTGACTCCAGGCACCTTAGTCCTGCCTCTCACCCTAAATAACCAGCAAAGAGGTGGGTATAATGATCAAACCCAAGTACTGGCCATGGAGACTGGTGCTCGGGGAGTAGGATTTGCTTAGACCAGAGGCTGGCAAACGACAGCCTGCAGGATAAATCTGGCCCACCAGCCCGTTTTTGTAAATAAAGTTTTATTGGAACGCAGTCATACCCTCTTTTACTGTATTGTCTGTAGCTGCTTTCATGTTACAGCAGTAGAGTAGTTGTAACAAGTCTGGCCTGCAAAGCCTAAATTTACTCTGGTGCTCTCCTGAAAAAGTTTGCTGACCTTCGTACTAGAAGAATACTAGCGTATTGGCTGCACTGGCCACCCTTACCTGTTCTGGCACGGCTTCTTTTATGTTCAAGAAAGACTATAATTCAGCCCTGAATGGTTCCTGGCACATATTATGTATTCAGTAAATATTAGTTGAATGATTGAATAAAAAATGTGCTCCCAGATATTGGAAGGGAGCATAAGAATGGTCAGATACTAGTTTGTATATTTGTGTATTCACTGGATCACTTTTCACATGGTCAGCTGTGCCCGATGTTTCTTCAGTGCCCATGGTTTATGCAAACACGAAGTATGGGTCTTGCCTGGATCCTGATTCAAACAAACTCAAGTATAAGGCAACTGAGGAAATGTGGTCACTGTCCACATGTTTGATGACACCTTAAGCCATTATTGTTCATTTATCTTAGGTGTTATAATGGTATTTTGTTTACTTTTTAAAAAGGGGGGGGGTCCTATCTTTTAGAGATATGTACTGAATTATCTACAGATGAAACAATGTGATGTCTGAGATTTGATCAAAATAATCCAGAACGAGAGGGACAAGGATAGGGAATGGGCACAGGAGAAGCAAAATCGGCCATGACTTGATGGTTGATTTCAAGTTGGGTGACCAGTACATGGCTTTTGTTACGGTCTTCTCCCTGCTTTCTATGTGTTTTGAGATTTTCTGTAATAGGAAGCTGAGGGGGGAAAAAGTCAGTGGCCTTTTTCAGGTGATTGCAGGGATGGACAGAGCAGACATGCTAGCCCTGCCCGCTGATCATCTACTGTGGACTGGTCATTTGTCCTTGAGTAGAGAACCATCACACACTGGAGCTAGAAAGTGTCACCTAAGTGAGAATTAGTTTAAAAAACTAAAAAGTAATGGTGGTAATAGAAGCAGGACCTGTCATGAAAGTTGCTGGTCCTGTGTCAGCTACCCACCGTCCAACCCGCCTGAGCTGGGCAGCCATGTTCTTGGTGAGTTACTGGCTGGGCTGTCATTCTCTGCTCCCTCATGTGCGCTGCTGTGCTCCAGTCCCATCGCCGCTTTCACCAGTTGGGGTGGCGTCGAGATGAGTAACCAGCAAGAAGATGGTTTTTACCCAGTGCCTGATGGGGGACGGATGAGATGGCTGAAGAGGGCAGGCTTTGGCATCACACAGACTTGAGTTCAAATCTTAGCTCTGCCACTTGTTGGCTGATACTCTGGGCAGGTGCTGCCACCTCTGGGTTTCTGTTTCCCACTCCGGGCAATGGGGATCACCTTGTATGGTTGCCCCATGGATCTCTGTGGACACACAGGTCAAGTCCATGTTGCCTGGTTTACAGTAATCACTCGGTACATGGAAGCGGCTAGCCAACAGTTACCCATAGTCCCTTCGAGCCTTCCTTCAGTGCCCTGAGAGAAAGCAGGCTGTTCCCTCCTGGAGAGACAGGCTTATCAGCATGGTATCAGATTCCAAACCCAGGGCTCTCTTCAGAAGGGTGGGTCTTTCAGCTCTGACCTTGCAGAAATTAAGTGATTAGCCATGGCTGGCCACGCTATTCCCACGTGTAAGTCACGGAAGTCTATAGAGGATATATGTGCTACAGCGGTGAGGGGCCTGCAGGTCAGCAGGTTTTCCCGTGCTCCAGTCATTTAGCTTATGTTAAAAGGGAAGCTTGAGAGAGTGTGTGCCAGCATCTGTCTTAGGTTTCATAAAAGAGCTTTTTGTCATGCGCAGCCAGTCCACGACCTCGCCCTGGGAGGTGGTGGGCCAGGCCCTGCTGTCTCTCTCTGGATTAGTTCCTCTGCCAGAACAAATGAGGTCAGAGGGCACAGTTGCAAACCCTGGAGGGACCAGTGACTTCTACATAGACAGACGGATGGCCAGACCGTATGCCTCATCCTTGCTCAGGGGAGAGCACTGAAGCGTTAAGAGAAATCAGCCCCAATATCATGAACACATAACTGTTTACCGTGATATGAGTGTCTGTGTGTATAAAATATACATAAACAGGCCTTTTCGAGCTTGTAGGATCCAACCTATACTTTGATCTGAGTTCCTCTGGTTAATTATACATTTTAAATGCTTACTTGATAAGTGCTGTAAACTTCCATTTATAGCACATCGTGAGTCACAGTCCTTGGCTGGCCTGTGAATTATATGAAAAGCCTGAACAGACTTAACAATGGTAACATTGCTTAGTTATTATATTTAAGTATTGTATTTACAGTAAGCTAGGAGGCAAATTATTTATAGGTTTGTAAACACCACTTTTGTTCATGTGTATAGAAATTATATCACAAAATATATATAGGTAAGAGCTAACAAAATCTTTTCCCCTCTGCATGAAAATTTGACCCTTGGTTAGCCTTCCAGCTCTGTTTCTCTGGAAACCTGATAAAAGTGGCATGTCAGCCACGATACTAGGCGGCATCACTTATGGTCAAAATGACCCCTGATTGGTAAACTGCATTTCAGTTGAGACTCTAAAATACCTGATAGGAAGCCCTAGCTTTGGTCAGTAATTCTTGTAACTGTGTGTATCCCCTATGGGGACTCTGGAAAGTGTTCCTGTGGAATTATTATAAGCGGTATTGGCTCTTGTGGCTTTTAAGCCAAGGTGACTCCTGTACCTGCCTGACATGGTCTCGGCTCCTTGCACTTGAGCTGTCTCTTGCGGGGACCAGAGAGAATCGCTCTGGGCTGCCATGCGGACTGCCGCGAGGACTCCCCTTCCACTGAAGGTAAGGAGTCCCTGGTGCTGCGCTGCTGCCTTGCTGGCTCCGTGCCCTGCAGCCTTCCAAGTGACTCTTGTGCCCGGAGCAGCCTCTCTGGTAGTCTCGTGTGTCTGAAGGCAACCTCATTGCATGTATACATATAGATGTATCGGGCTGTCGGAAAAGTCATGATGCATGTTTGTAATGAAAAACATAGAAAAAATATGTCATGACTTTTCCGACAACCCAATATGTTTGTGTGTGTGTGTATACACGCCATATATGCCATATATATATAGTGTGTGTATATATATATATGTATATATGTATATATACACAATATATTGTATGTCTATATACATATTATATATACAAGGTAATGTGTATGTACAATATGTACAATATATATTCTGTGTATATATACAGAGGGTGCCAAAGAAATGCATATACATTTTAAGAAAGGAAAAAACTATTAAAATTACATTGATGGTAACCACTTTGAGCACTTCTTGTAATTGCAGAAGTCAAACGTGACTTGTATTCATCTTTTGTTATTATCAGTATATATTGAGTATGACAATTTTAATACAGTTTCCCTTTCTTAAAATGTGTATTTTTGGGGGGCACCATCTGTGTATGTACACAATATGTGTGTGTGTGTGTGTATTGATATATTTTTTGTTTTTGTTTGTCGCTCTATTTCAGCTACCATCGGGCCTCCAGAAAACATCCAGGTGACCCCAGGAGACAGATCCCTTATCATCAGGCTCTCCCCTCCCTTTGAAGTCAATGCCCCCAAGGCCACTTTTTCATACTATGTCCATTACTGGGAAAGGGAAGGAATCAAACAGGTAAGAGCATTTTCCTTTGTTTTGATTTTCTTTTCTTTGGAGTTTCTGACACAGCAAAAGAAAGTAGGCTTTAAAATGGACAAGGAGAACGGGCTATCCCAGTATCGCCTTAGAGTCTGAGACCTAAACTGGTTTTAATCCTCCTCTTCAAGATCTGTTTTTCTCCTCACTGTGCTGAGAGTTCCCTTCCGCCGGGTCCGTCTGAGGGGCCCCTCTGTCTGATGTCACACTGTTATCTGGGGTTCAGACTTTGCTGGCATAGTACTCACAGTGCCTTTGACATACTCTGGAGTTTGGAGAAGGTTCTGGTGGGCCTGTTTCTACACCAAGGAATCTGCCACTGCAGTCTGCAAGGTTTAACAATATAAATTTCTCTAGTCTGAACAGTTTGCAAAGAGGGTACATGGGAGTAGGTGAGAAGTCGACTGGAAGGAGAGAGAGCGTTCTGGGGAGAATGACGAGTGGGTATGAAAAGGCGGGGCTCATTTTGAGAACTGTATGTGCATGCATTTGTCAGAAATACAGGCCATGTGAGAAGGAGCTGTGGCAGGTGATAAGATGGACAAAGGTGGGTCAGACCAAAGGGGGCCTGGTCAGCCCCCGTGGGTAGTACAAGAAAAAAACGATGGCTTTTAATCATCCCCAGTGCCTGATTATCCAAGTGGCATTTAATGAGGTTTCATTAGCTATGTAAGCTTCATGATTTCCTAACTTCAACGTTATTATAATTTTTCTAGTAATAATAGGAGCTTATGTTTATCAAGAGCTTTCTTTGTGTCTGGCACTGGGCCAGGCATTTTGGATAGATCATCTCATTTAAGCTTTATACCAACCTGTTACAGAGAGAGAAATCAATAATTAAGTAGCTAGCCCAAGGTCAGCAGCTGACAGCAGAGCAAAGCGAGACATCTTGGCCTCAGGGTCTATGCTTTTATTTGTCTTTTTTTTCCCACACAGTTTATATTTGCACTTCATTTCTTTGTGATGAGTCTAAATCACTAGGGAAGGCAAAACTCACGGAAGAACAGGTTTTTGGCTTAGAAGGAAGAAAGATATAATCATTTCCCTGAATCAGAAGTTGAGATCCGGTCAACTGGAATAGAGAAGGCTTAGAAAAATTCGGGAGGGAAAGGTGGCTGCCTCTTCCATACACATCATGGGCCATATACACCCTGGACTTAAGATGTGGTGCTGGAAATCTGGGAGATAGCATGGGCACTCTGACCACATTTTTTCTCTGCCATTTAGTTGGTTTCTTGTCCAGAGTGCATGCATCATGTTACAGTGCTCCCTACCAGGGACCTGCCCTTACTTTTGCTGCTTATGATGGAGTCGATGGCTTCCCTCCACTGAATCGGCCCCCAGAGGGCAAATTGCTGTTGATATAGTAGAACTGGGTAGGGCTGCCCAGTGCTGGAGGGTTCAGCCTCCAGGACATTGAAACCAGATTCACTTAGCGGTGTCCTAATGAAAAAGGCATGGACCACACTACTACCACTTGGAACTAGTTCAACGTGACCTAGCCATTCTAGGCTACAGTTTCCTCTTCTGTAAAATGAAACAATTGAATTATAAGTCAGAATTTATGGGGCTCCAAGCCCCTTCCCCCCTTTCAATCAGAGCTTCTAAACTTTGGGCTCCCATGAACAAAAGACTCTAGGGCTAAAAAAGGACTCTGAGGGCCGGCTGAGTGGCGTGATGGTTAAGCAATGGCTTGGGATGCCAGAGGGCCCCGGTTCGGATCCCACATATGAGGGCCAGTGACACTGCCCTCCACAGCTAGGATGCTGAACGACAGCTCAACCTGGAGCTGGGCTGCCGAGAGTCTCCGGCGACGGCGTAGGCTGCAGCCCCTGTGGCAGTGGGTTGCCGTGGGCTACTGTATGTAGCCAGCAGCCAGCGTGAGCGGCCAGCAGCCGCAGTGAGCGGCCGTCCAGAAGCCAGCAACTGATCTGCCTCATCTGGGAAGAGCGCAACGATGGTGCCAACTTGGGCCAGTAAAGCAACATCCTCCACAACTAGACTGAAGAACAAAAGGACAGCAACTTGTCTGTTCCCCTTCCCCCGATTCCCCAGCGCTGTTCCCATCCCCCAATTTCCCAATTTAAAAAAAAAAAAAAAGGACTCTAAAAGCCACCAACATGGTCTCTATCCCAGTTGCGAGTCTGTGTGTCAAGGGTCCCCAAGAGCAACTGCTAGATTTGCTCAAAGGACTCGCAGGATGTGGCATATAGCTATACTCATGGCTATGATTTATTACAGAAAAAGGACACAAAGCAAAATCAGCAAAGAGAAGAGGCACATGGGCAAAGTCCAGAGGACACCAGGCACAAGCTTCCAAGAACCTCTTCCCAGTAGATGCACCCAGGACACACTTAATTCCTCCAACAACAAGCTGTGACAACATGTTCCATGTTATCTACCACGGAATCTCATTAACAGCCTCCGTGCCCAGGGTTTTACTGGGGGCTGGTCACGTAGGCAGTCCTCTCCCTAGCACATACCAAATTTCCAGACTCCCAGAAGAAAAGCAGGTGTTCCGCATAAAAAACATTGTTTGTACAATAAACCACCCTTATCAGAGAGTGGTAGGACACTCCTGAAATCCAAGTGCCCAGGTGCCAGCCATGGGTCAGCCTCACAGGTCTTTCTTTCTAAGGACAGCAGTCTCAAGCCTGAGTGTTAGTTCTTCTCTGCAGTCTGTGATGCTAAATTTTAGAAATGTCAACTGGCTGCTGAAATAAACCCAAAAGCAATTCTGTCCTTAAAATTGCTTTATGTGGCATCATGAACAAAAATGCCATTTTTTTTCCCCTCTGCCCTGGCAATCCGTCAGCATTAAACAAAAAAAATACAAAGTTAAAAATCATCTGTAATTCCACAATTCATAAATATAATTATTTTATAAAATTTAATCTAACAAAAATAAGATCATGTAAGAGAACATCCAAGATGGCAGATTAGGTGAACGTTATGCCTATTGCCTTCCAGGATCACACCAAAATTACAAATCAGTTATAGAACAATCAACTTCAAGAATCATCTGAAGACTAGCTGAACAGAACCCCTGTAACTAAGGATATAAATAAAGAGTGTCCCATCTAGACTGAGAACAGAGGAGTAGCGCATATTTATTTATTTATTTATTTATTTATTTATTTATTTATTTATTTATATATTTATATATATATTTGGTAGAAACAATTGCAGTACTCTGAAGCAGTCCCAGTGACCTTTGAATACACTGTGGACCATGTTTACTTTTGAAAAAAAAAAAAAAAGATCATGTTCCGTACACAATGGATAATCTTTTTTTCAACCAATATTGTAGCAGCTTCATCTCTCTATATGGTTATACCACCATTTCACATGGCTACAATGTACCCTACTGTATCTCAAAATAAGAAAGCAGCTCTTTCTAAAACGTCCTATGTTGCCGTTGTATAGTATATCTTTTTCTCGTTTCCGTGGGGAACAATGACAAGTTTGTTCAGGATGAGAGGGAGAAGCCATTGACTGGACTGACCCAGGTGTGGCGGTGACAAGGCCTGAGGGGAGGCAGAATCCTCTAAGAATCTGGGACCCAGCTGTTTACCGATTACGTAAATCGCTAAGGTCATTTGGACCAAAACTATAAAAGGAATCAACATATTTTAGTTAAAACCAGAAGCAGGTTGGGAATTAAAGGCACATTTTTTTTTCCTAGAATGATTTTTTTTTCTCTGTTTACTAAATTGACATATCTAGATTAGATTAACCATGAAATACAAAATGTTCATTTTAAAGGAGAAAATTTCATTCTAGAAATTATGCTAAATTCCAGTTTTGGAACCTCTGTTGCTGCAGTTGGTCCTCAACAGGCTGTCTGAGGCCTCACAGCCAGAAACAGCCCTAAAGCCATCGGCATCTTTCTTCACGCTACTCATCAATTTTCACTTATGAAATGTGTCCAGTGTAAGCCAGTGATGCTTTCAAAACAGAATTTCCTTATTCTTTGGTTATTGTGTTCACTGTGAATCGGAGGAAATGCTGAAAGGATGGAAGTAGCTTGACCATGTCTGTTTGCGTCATTTACATGTTTGGCTGTTGGTGATTTTCACACAGGTTAAAGGCCCTTTCAAAAGGAACACCATTGTGTTGAAGGATTTAAAACCCTTAAGAGAATACTGTTTACAAGTCAAGGCAGAACTGTCTGGGACAGAGCTAAATCTCTCTAGACTTGGGCGTTTAAGCAACGAAACTTGTCACGAAACGACAGTAGATGGTAAGTTGTGCCTTCTTGTGCCCTTTTTGAGCTGGGAAGAGAGTACTAACATGGCGGAATGGGGGAACACTTACTAAGTGAAGGGCGGTGGGAGTGGGGAGACGCAGAGCGAAGGGCGCGAGAAGCGAGCTCGTAACAAGGTGTCACGAGCTTGTGCTGAGACCTCCAGGAGCAAAAACTAACGCTTGCTTTATCTTAGGATTGCCTCACTATCTACTAATTTAAGCAAATGGGCTGAGGAGGGGGCTGGTATCTGTCCATTTTCCTGGGACATGAATACTATTTAAGCAGTCGGCAGATGAAAAGTTACCTGATACTTGTATCATGTGTGGGATGGCCCTCTTGTTCATTTTTATGTCATCTTTGTAGCCTCCCCCAAGCCTGAACAAATCATCTTGATTGCTGTGGGAACCTTTTTGTTGCTGTCAGTGCTGGCTGGGGGCTGTCTCTTCCTGGTCCTGAAATACAGAAGCCTGATTAAATACTGGTTTCAGTCTCCACCAAACATCCCATTACAAATAGAAGAGGTATGTATGCATGCATCTAAATGGGTGATGTGTCAGCCCTCCATAGCCCTCTGGTAACACTGAAGAGTACAGCAACGGACAAAGCCATGAACACAGAGATTTGAGTTAAAAGTGGTGTGGGATTATCTATACATTCCTGTTCATAACAGCATTGTGAATACAACAGCCAAAAGATGGATACAGCCCAGATGTCCATCAACAGATGAATGGATAAGCACATGTGATATACACATACAATGGAATATTATTCAGCCTTAAAAAGGAAGGAGATTCTGACACGTGCTACCACATGGATGAATTATGAGGGCATCATGCTAGGTGAAATAAACCAGTCACAAAAAGACAAATACTGTATGATTCCACTTATATGAGGTACTGAGAGTAGTCAGATTCACAGAGACAATGGAGAATGGTGGTAGCCAGGGGCTGGGGGAAATGGAGAATTAGCATTTAATGGGTACAGAGTTTCAGTTTTGCGAAATAAAAAAAGCTCTGGAGACAGATGGTAGAGCTGGTTGCACACCAATATGAATATACTTTACACTGCTGAACTGTGTGCTTAAAAATGGTTAAGATGATACTCTCTCTGTTATGTGTACAGTACCACAATTAAAAACCAATTTTTTTACGGTACAAAGTTGGCCAAAACGGTGGCCTGGCCTGGCCGAGAGATTGGCTGCAGGAGGGCCCTGTCTTGAGGCAGCACGTCAGTCCTGTGATTTTTGGAGAACGCCCCCAAAATGAAGCCTGACTGGAGGATGCAAAGGCAGTCAAGACAAATGCAGAGCATGAGCTTTTGGGCCAACAGTGAGCACTTAGGAGAGTTCTAGAAGGCCTTGCATACCAAGTGCTCAAGGATGTTACAAGTACCCTAAAGGCCCTCAGAGGGAAAAGTGGAGTCTCGTTTGCCTGCACATCTCCAGTCCCCTGAGGCAGCGGCTCCCTCTGACAACAGTTGGCACATTCTTAGTCTCCCAAGCTAGCTGATAGAAGAATACTGAAAAGTATTTGCTTCTGGAGGTTTATTATTCTTTAGTAAAATTGGGGTAAAACTGAAATTCTGTTTCATTGTAAACAGAATCTTACTCTGTTATATCTAGAACGAATAGACGTTAGATAAGGTCCAAGTCTGTACAGACAGAGCAGTGCTGTAGCATTTAAAGGACGCGGGCATCATACAAATTACAGGTTAAATTCCGTACGAGGCCCTCCCTACAAATACTGCATAATTCACCTTGTAAGAGGCATCTAAAATAGTCAAACTCATAGAAGCAGAGAGTAGAATGGTGGTTGCCAGGGGCTGGGGGAGGGGGAAACGGGTAAGGTTTCAGTTATACAAGATGAGTAAGTTCTAGAGATCTGTCATACAACACCGTGCCTGGAGTTAGTACCATATTGTGGACTTAAAATCTTGTTAAGAGGGTAGAACTCATGTTTTTACCACACACAAAAAAACCAAAAAAACCCCAAAACCCAAAACTTCCCTGGTTAATATTGTCACAAAAATGACAGCTCTCCAGGGGTCTCTGAGTTTTACTGCCTTAATGATCTCTCTCAACAGTAGAACTAGCCCCTGGGCCCTAGTGAGTAAATTTACTACTAGTTTTTTCTTTGGGGCTTGAATCCAAAACATAAAGTCTTTTGGTTCTCTTTCCTGGGAAAGTGTGAAAAATATCAAAGGCCACCGAAGTTACCTTCGGTGAGGTAACAAATCCTGTTTCACTTATATTTTCGAGGTTTCACAAGTGCATGTGATGCATTGTTTCTCATTTAGTCAGCCAGCTCTAAGCTTGACTGCATTTCAGTATCTCTCGGCATCTTGAAGAGCTAGGCGCTGGGTTCTTGGTAACTTGGTGAGTTTATGGCTAAGCCTAAAGCAGAGGCTGGAGAGGAAGGGAGAGTGAGGTGCTGTGAAATGTCACTTTCCCCTGAGGACTTCCCCTTTCTCACAGCCCCGCCCCCAACCCCCAGGGCTGCGCAGGCCGTGCTGCTTGTCCAGGCTCTGCTCCTTGTGCGTTGAGTGGAGTAGAAACGGCCGGTGGGTGGAATGGCTGAGAAAAATGCTTCTGCCATTGCCCCCATTGTAGGTGAACGAGAGATCCCATTTTCTCCTTCACTGAAAAGTTAGAATTTTAGGGTTAATAACCTACAAGCATCCGGAGTGCAGCAGGTCACACTTCGCGGTGTGATGCCCTATTACACCTTCAGAGCGTTACCTCAGTAGGGCCTTGGATTCGTGTTCAACTTACCAGTGAGATGAGAAGGGGAGTCAAGTGTCAGACGTTTTTCATTCGTGGACAGTACAGGAAGTTCCTGAATAAAATATGGTGGTGCCAACTGGAGCCAAAGTCACAGGTCTGGTAATTTGAACGGAGAAGCTAATTACAATGTTGGTTTTCAATCTTTTCAAGTATTTAAAGGACCCGGCTCAGCCTATTTTAGAGGCTTTGGACAAGGACAGCTCGCCAAAGGATGATGCCTGGGACTGTGTGTCCATCATTTCATTTCCGGAGAAGGAGTGAGGAGATGATCTCCAGAGCACTTTGATTCAAAGCACTGGTCCCATCCGCCACGCCGTGGGAAGAGGTCTTGGAGCCAGTGAAACTGCTGCTCTTCTTGTGAGGACTCTTTGGAGCCCAGGACTCCATAATTCCACAGCAAAACGGGCCTTTGGCACCTGGGGAGAAGTAGAGGGTCTCCTGACAAGCTTTTTTTTTTTTTTCTTTATGAGTTTTCTAATTATACACCTTGCTAGAATGATTCCATAGAAATATCTCCGAAAAATTAAGGTTTCTCTTAAACACTAAAAAGGCATGCAATTATTTGTTAACAAAATGGTTCTGGCATACCTCTGATATTCTGTTCATCGCTAGCTGGACTCGGCAGTGAGGAGACTGGGTCCTCTCCTTGACTCTGGGAAGTGAGCCATGGCCCCTGGGTAGGTCACATAACCTGTCTCAGCCTGTCCCTACAAGGGACACTGAGTGGCCCTTCACATCCAATCTCCTGGCTTGAAATGTGGTTAATCCTGTAAATATTTCCCTAGTAATTTAAAATTTTTCCCCCCAAGCTAGGAATAAAAGACTGTATAGTAAACTTTTTAAAAGTCTATGTGAAGTTTTTCCTCTCCACATCACCGTCTTATTTTGGTCTCTTTTCTGCAAAGTTTCAGTTTTTTAAAATGGCTATACCTAAACTTATTTTCTTAAATAACTACCAGTAGAGTTACTGAGACCTCATGGTCACTCAGCGAGAACTTTCCACGTGTGTCGCTTGATCCCTTGCAGAGGTATAAAGGAGATTGTCAGAAGCTACATTAGCATTTCATTTAATGTGACGAGTCACATGTTGACCAAGGCAGGGGCTCATAGGCAGTAAAGAGGATTAGCTAGTGGACAGTCACGATGGCCACTGGGCACGCAGCTCTTCTGAATGTGCAAGTACCGATGGGCTCTTTTGTTCAAAGGACATGGATCATAACACATTTATACAACTCTGAACATTCAGGAAATGGATGTGTGGTTTCACCCTCCTTCCCCAACTCACGCGAAGTGGCACAGTGCTGTAAGGTCTGCTTTACGAAGAGGCCCTTACTGGCAGCCTAAGCTTTACAATGGGAAGAAGAGATGCTGACTTTGGGTATACGAAACTTGTAGCACTAGTTGATGGAATCTCTCTCTCTCTCTCTCTCTCTCTCTCTCTCTCTCTCTCCTCTTCTCTCTCGAGTTGGGACAGGTTTAGAGAAGAGTTAGTAGCTGGAAATTATAAGGACCTATCTGGATCATTTAGGGGGTTTAAGGTAGAAGAGCTTCCTGTACTGAGCCACAGGTGAAGTTCTGTGGGGGAGGGGACCTGTATGTGTCAGAAAGAGAACAGGTTAAGAATTGGAGCCCAGGAGAAAGGGGGACCGGTCAGTTTCGTTAGAAAGTTAGAAGTATGAACTTACGTTTGCAACAAGCTCATATGTGCTGCCCTGTGTACAGGGGGGTTACAGCTTCTCAGGGGCAAGCAGGCTGGCAGTGGGGACCTGGTTCTAATAAGGCTTAGCTGGGTCAGGACAGAACCAGGCTAGTGTCCTGGGGCAGGAGGTCCCTGGGGTTCAAACCCAGAAAGGCCCTTCTTAGTTGAAGGCAGCGGCTTAAGTTAGTGACAGATTGTTGATTGTCAATGGACTTGTCAATTGTAGGTTAGTGACAGACGCAGAACCCAAGCCCAGGGCCAGCGTTATGTCCAGGCTCTCCAAGGTGATTGCCTTAGAGGGGAGAGGCTGGCACACCACCAATTTGGGGTCACTGAGACCCCAAATGTGCTGCCCCCTGTGGGCTCTCCTCACCATCCTCACTCAGTGAACATCTCAAGTAGACATGGGGCTGGCCTATTAAATGGGGAAAGGACAGGAATTTTTTTATTAAGATACTCCTTTCCCAAAAAGAAACACCTAGCTCTACTTTGTAAAATAAATGCTTAATGAGATTAATTACTTATCCTAATTTGTGGCTTAATTTCTTGTCAAGCTAAGTACATAATCATAATATGAGGTCAGGCAATTAAGTTCACGAACTCATCCTAGAGAAAGTGCTACATACCTCATTGCTGAATATCACTATGGTCACCTTCGAAGTACTCCCCTCGGGAAGCTATGCACCAACGCCAGCGCCTAGTCTACCCTTCAAAGCAATTTTGGAACTCTTTCTGGAATAGCCATCAGAGGTGTTGTCGTATTACCTTTGATGTCCTGAATGTCATCAAAATGTCTTCCTTTCAGTATTTCCTTTTTCTTCGGGTAAAGGAATAAGTCATTGGGGGCCAAATCAGGTGAGTAGGGAGGGTGTTCCAATACAGTTATTTGTTTACTGGCTAAAAACCCCCTCACAGACAGTGCCGTGTGAGCTGGTGCATTGTCGTGATGCAAGAGCTCCTTTGGGACCATTTTTGCACACACCTTTCTCATGCCAAGAGTTTCAGTTAAGATTTTCCTGTTTCTCTATCGATGTTTACTTGGTCTGCTATGCTTCTCACAGTCAGCCGGTGATTTTGACGCACAATTCGATGGATTTTTGCAATGTTTTCATCAGGTCTGCTCATCACTGGCCGCCCTGACCTCTCATCAGTTGTGCGTTCTCTCCCCTCAGAAAAACATTTAATCCGTTTTTACACTGCCATTTTCTTCATGGCATTATCCCCATAAACTTGGACTAACATGTCCCTGATTTCATTTCCACTCTTGCCAAGTTTAATAATAAATTTAATATTTGTTCATTGCTCTAATTCAAGCTCAGACATTCTCGCGACGGCACACAAAAACACGCAACAATAATGAACGCCACTCAGCAAGACACCGCCACACATCGACATGAACACAGCTGTGAGACACTGATACACCAAGGTTATGAAACCTTACCGAGCTGTTTGTACAGTGCTGCCAATGTAAGGACACGGTGGCCAGTTCGCGAACTTCATTGTAAGAACTCGTATGTTTGAATTGGAAGTAATAAAGATTGACTGGGACTTTAAATGAACGTAAATCAGTTGGGTCTTTGGCAGGAGCTAAAGCTTATGGGAGGAATTCTTGCATTCCACTTTATGGGGAGCACTTAAGAGGAAGATCTTTATGCTTACAGTGGAATTCTTTGGTTGTAACTGTCCCTCCCATTAACTTCCTTTTTCTCCCCTCTATAAATAACCATCTTGGCACACAGTTGAGTGTGTGCATGTGGTCATGTCTGCATGGCTGGGTTATAATCTTTTATTTCCCCATCTCCTGCCCCACCAATAATTCCTTTTTAGTGACAAAGCACTTAGTTGATACTGTTTTCCACTCACTAGAAGCAATCTTATAAATCAGCTATTAACAGAGGAAAGCACCCAAGCACCCAATCCAGCCTGCTCCGTTTTCATATGGCCTGTGAGCTAACAATAGTTGTTACATCTTTAAATGGTTGGGAAAAAAATCAAAAGTATATGAAATTTTAATTTCAGTGTACATATAAACTCTTATTGGAACCAGTGATGCTCATTCTTTTATGAATCATCATTTATGGCTGCTTTTGCACTGCAAGGCAGAAGAGAGTAGTTGCAATAGAGACTGTGTGCCTACAAAGCCTAAAATATTTGCTACAAAAAAAAGTTTGCTGACCCCTGAACTATACAGTGAAGTGTTCATTGTATTAGGGGAAACAGACCCACTCTGGTTATTTAGGTTTATAATTGCAGAAGGTCCCACAAGACCCCATTTGACACTGAGATTTTCTAATTCAGGGGCTATATGTTACACGGGAGAAGGAGTATTTAATTCTTGCAGGTATCCTGTGAAGCACATTATGGACTAGTGACTAGGAATAGCTGGATACAGAGTTTGGGAATATGCAGTTCAATGGGGGAAAGGGGGCCCTATACCAAGAATAGGTCACCCAGAGATGATGCGTTAGCTGGATCAAGGCCATTGCTAGCCTAAGGTACCTTTGTGTAAATTAGATAAAGGTGTCTATCTTTCAAGACACTGATTTCAAGTGCCATGAATTTTCTTTTTAAACCGTGCTCATCTATGCCTGCTCTGTGAATAGCGCCCCCTGGGGGTTCCGCAGTGCTCAGCCGTTGAGCTGCAGACTGGACAGTGTGGTGCTCTGTGGGAGGAAGCCGCTGGTGAGCCCGTCATCCTGGATGGTGCTAAGCCAGTAGGGTGAGGTACCCATGCCCCCCCCCGCCCCCCGGCAGGGGTTGGAGGTGGGGTAGAAACAGAGAAAGGAGACTTGCTCATCTGTAGGACTGATAACTGGAGAAATCGCTGCTGCCCGCTCAGCCCGGTATTGCCTCGGTGGGGAAGAGCTCCGTTCCTAGCCGGTGCTTGGGGCCCCCGCCTTTGTGACTTTTATTTCATTTACAGTGCTTAGCTCTGTCCACGGTGTTTAAATACGCCTGCACAGCCCCTCATTATGCTCCTCCGGCAACTGCAAAACAACTTCACTTCTCTTTGAGGTTCGCCAGGGCCCTCCCAAGTAACTTCGCTGTGTGCCAAACAGCCTGTGCTTCAGATGAGAACATCCCAAACCGTCTTTACTGTTTGGTGGGAATGAGACTCTCCACTGGGCATTTTCACACGACGCGTCAGACCTCCCTGCTCTTCAGTGCCGTGCACAGGCCCCCTCAGGAAGCAAGGGCTCTCTGATGGGAATGTAGCAAAAGTGGTTTCTTCTTGCTGCTTCCAGTTTGTGGTGACAGAAGACAGCTGGCCGCTTTGGGAGGCGATGGAAAGTGGTCAGAGTGGGTACTAAGGACCTTGGCCCTCAGAGCGCACGCTGCTGGGGTGAGAGCTCTGGTCAGTGCAGTCAGCCAGTTAGTCTCTGAGAAGACCAAGAACAATGATGCTTAAAATTTCACCCCAGTATAGAAACACAGCCAGCAGTGGCTCCTCTGGGCGCATCAATTATTTTTAAAGGGGGGAAGGCAGACCCCCAGGGTTTCTTTACATACATACCACCAGTTATAAACTAAAATCACTTTCAAAAGGCAGGATTTTTTCCTTGTAATTAAATAGTGGTATGAATAACAATTATAACAAATATGAATATAATTGAACTTGTTTCATTTTGCATTCAGGTGAATAGAACTACTTGATATTCTCTGTAGGTAGTAAGTGTATTTTTTGTCGCTGAAAACATAAGAGAAGGCCCAAGCTCTTAAAGAGCTGAGTCCAGGTAGGACCTGAGGTCCTTGGGAGTGGGCAGGGAAAGGCCTGGCATAAAATTTAATTAATCAATTAAATCAATATATTTCTTGACTGTTTCCCTTCTGAAATGTTGCTGTGAACCTCCACATGTATCCCCCACACACTTCTCAAGTGGCCAGCCCCATGCCACTACTAAAAGATACACATAGTACCAACAGTCAGGGCCATGCATACATGTGTGTAGGTTGTACACTGTGCAAATCCAGTGGTGCCACAGTAACTGCTAGTAATCCTGATTTGTAATCCAGCGATGTTTCAAAAATACATTTGGTCCCTTCGAGACTTAGAATAGTCTCATGAAAAACTGTCAAAATTAATGGTGAGGTTTCTAAAATCAGATTTAAAACTTACTACACACCAAAATGCCACTAGTAGTCTTTAGATGGTAATGTGAATTTCTTCTTTCTCCTCTATGTTGTCCAGCAATTTTCTACGAGAATATTCTTTCACAATGAAGTAATATGACACATTTCATATAAGATGAAAGGACCATGCTCTGGGCCCAAGAGAAACTGGGATGGAAGGGACTGAAAACAGGCAGATGTCAGGATGAGGCGAAATCCTCTCCCTACCTTCCCCCCAAACACACACACACACACACATCTGAGTTGTCCTTCAGCCAGATGTAAGGTAAAAATTATAATTTGTTACAAATTGTATATCCCCTCTGTCATGTCACAGGGCCAATTTACTTCAACTCCACGTAATGCTAATACAACAAATTTGAACTATTTGATTTAATAAATTAACCAATTTCTTTCTCCTGGAAGTACTGTAGTAATTAATTACGAAGGAGGGAAATGGTTAAGTGGAGAAATCTGGTGGACACCACCTTGGGCAGGCAAGTCAAGTTAAAATCACCAATACGGGATGGATACTTGCCTGCTGACATGCTGTACTCAAAACAAACATTGCTCCTATGGTATTCCTGCCCCAAAAACGCATAACCAGAATTTAATCATGAGGGAGCATTGGACAAATCCAAATCGAGGGGCATTCTATAAAACAACTGGTTTGCATTCTTCAAAATACCGAGTAGTCGCAAAAGACAAAGCCTAAAGAATTATTCCAGCATTAACAGCCCTACAGGGGACACAACAACTAAATGCAACCTGTGATCATGGATTGGATTGTGGAATAGAAAAAACATACTTTTCTTTACTATAAAGCACATTAGTGCAGCAACTGACAAAATTTGTACTGTGTCAGTGTTAACTTCCTGCTTTTGGTATCTGATTTGGGGAACTAAACAGACATAATCAAAGGTAAAGAGGCATCATATTGGCAGCATGTTATCAAACACCTCAAAAAAACAGACGCAAATGTGGTAAAATGTTAACATTTGGGAAATCTGAAAGGTATACAAGAATTCTGTGCTCTTTTTGCAACTTTCCTGTAAGTCTGAAGTTATTTCTAAATGAAAAGGTCATCTATAAACTCATAACTTTCATAACAGGAGTTAAATACACAACATCATACTGAATCACTTTTTGGCACCTGGAATCAAACAGTTGGAAATAAGCTCTATTTCACTCCTTTTCTACAAGTTCTCTGGTTTCCAGCCTAGACCTCTGGGGTGGGGAGGGGCCATAAGCTCCCAAGGCAAAGATCCGGGTGCTTTCTTCACTGGCATAATCAGTGAGGGTCTGGACAGCCTGCTCCACCACACCTACCTGTAGAAATATAAAATATCTTATTTTCTAGAGCTAAAAGAATTGAAGAGGCATATACTGTCATCTGAAAACCCTATGTAAAATTATTTAAGCTGTGTTAAAACTGCTACAAAAAATAAGCACTGGAAGGTTCCAAACAAAACAAAAACCGACTTTTTTTTTTTTTAAAGGTGGCACGCCACCTTGTGACAAAAAGTGAAAAAGCCATCGAATGAGGAAGGCAACATCCCTTCAGGCAAAGCCATTAGGTTAATGAGTAGAGAGGGAAATGAAATGATTTGCTCACAATTAAACAAATTCATGGCAGAGTCAAAAATAGGAATAAAACAGCCATTATTTTCAGTTGGTCTCAAATGCCCTTCATTAGCCTTCACACCAGCATTTTACAAATCTGAGTATAATATTTCTCTTTGTTAGAACATGCAGATCCAGGGAAAAGCCCTGAGGCTGAAAATCTACCTCCATAAGCGGAGGACAGGGAAAGACTGAAGAGGCTGCCACTCTAATGCAATCAATAAGAGTTTATTTAAGGGAAACTTACAAATGAGGCGGATCTTAGGGGGCTGCACGGAAATGGGTCCCCACACCACTTGGCAGGCACCAAAGAATTATACAAGGTAAAGGGGAGGGACAGTCACAGGTACTAGAATGTGAATGCTAACAGGTACAGGAAAACTATACCCTTGGACGGGCCTGTGCCAGGAACCAGCACACAGCAGGAGGCAGGGAGGGGTGCTGGTTTATGTCAGAGTGAACACTGATTACTATCAGACAGACTCTAAGGGGGGGTTGCAGTAAGCAATCCAGCCTGGGCAGGCAGTGGTCATGTCATAGAGCAGGCTTTCCTCCACACGCCATAGTTTACAGAGATAATCTGCTTCTTTGAATGGGTCCACTTGAGTAATTGAAAAATGAACAGTGAACCAATTTTTATGGTTCATTTTCTCAAACAGATTCAACAATATCAGAATGTGTGAGAAGTAATTATTTATTGCAACAGGTTACAACAGAATGGAAACAAGTATTTAGTCTTACAATTTGTTGGAAGCAAGACAAAGTTTACTGACATTTTAAGGGAAAAACAACAAAGAAAGAATTAAATAAGATGGTATCTAGACAAAGGCACAGCGTTCCACCACTGCCTCATACTCCACAGTAAATCCTCTCAGAGACGTAAATAAGGCTTGCATTAGAAGCTGCATATGATACCCTTGAAATTATTGTCTCACAACAAAAGGCTATAAAATCCCTCTGGAGGAAAAAAGTGCAAAAACCTGTATAACAAAGGAAAGCAACAATAGCAATAAAGACTCAACTATCCATTTGAAATCTCTGGTAGGAATATACACAGTGCAAATACAGTTTTTGAATTCAGCAAATGAAGTTTTTGACTGGACTATGAACTTTCAGGTTAAAGATATATTCTGCAAGGAAAGTTCACCCAGACATGGAGAGCTGGAGCAAAAAGAGACTTGCAGTTGGTAACTAAGAGGATGAAATGCCTAATTTTTCACTAGGTCATAATAATTCCTTTTGGGAAGAAGTGCTTTATCTGGAAACCAATTATTCCACCTTTTGTTACATGGTTCAATGCTTTTAAACTGCAGTTGTCTCAAACTTGCTTGATGTTGAATTTTGTAATGTCAGATAATGGTAGGCTGTCAAATGAGGAAAACCCCAGTAGACAGATCATTTAAGCTGCTTTTGTAAGAAGCATGTTGCCGAGCTAGCTGCCTTATGGTCTTCCTACATTAGCCATGTAAAACTGAGCTTATCTGATTGTGTATTATCCCGTCTCAAATAAAGTCATATTAAAGGAATTGTTTTTAAAAGAGGCTTTCAAACTAGTCCATCAGGCATTTATAAAATCTTCATATAAAAGTCCACTTCTTTAATACACAAGAACATTTTTCCTTTAAAAAAAATCTCATTTTTAAGCCAAAATAAATTACAACTTGCTGAAATGCCCTTTTTTAATGGCTCAGTGCTTATTTCAGATTCATGGAGCTGTGTTTTTCATACATCTTCGGAAATCAGAGATATTGAAACAAAGGAGTTAACTCCAAAATGACATGATGATACAACCAGGGTTCAGGAAACAGATCAAGCTTTCAGTCTTCAGGAATAAAAGACTGATACTCACCGTCCCATCTCCATAGTCGTATAGTATGTACATATTAACAATCTATTCATTTAAAAAGAGGACAAATTTCATAAAACTATTTCAAAACTCAGAGCATAAAAGTGTAAAGAAACACAACATTTAATGTACAATCTACTCCGTTTGGCAATGTGTAAACTATATTGAAAGATAAAAACTTATCTACAAATAGAATATAACAAAAGGAAAATGTGATTTAAGAAGTGATCTCAGGTCCATAGTTCTTCGGTTCTTCCAAATTTGTAGATCAGAGTGCTAAAAAGATATTAAGATAAGTTGTGAGAAAAAAAAACACATGGAATAATCAACAGAAAATTCATTTTCTAAATGTGCTTTGACAGATACTTCACTGATCCCTTTGTATCAATTTCTAAATTAAAGGCTGTGGTGGTGTTGGTCTAGATTTGCTTTTTTATACAGCAGTTTGTTGACCTTGATGGCTGGGCTTAATTAAATATCCTTTCTGAAAGCCTGGAAAGTTATTAGATAGAAAACTTGTAAGGAAAAGGCGAATTTCTCATAGCGGCAAGCATTCTATGATATGTGCGCTACAATAACAGAAGCATCTTAAAACAGACCATGCTGCAATTTTTTGTTCATTTAACAACTAATTATTGTACAGGTGTGATAAAAATACAGTGAATGCTGCTGCCAAGTGCCATCCAACGGAAAGGCAGGGATCTTCAATATGGGAAGCTGTGCATCCAACCTTAGTAACAGTGTGTGACAAGTTTCAACTTGTTTGATGCAGTCAGGTGTGAGCTACGGTTGAGAGAAGGTATGTCTTAAAGTGTGGTGTAAATCATGGATCACAAACAATGCATTAACATGAAATGGGCAAGCGTTTTCATCCTCCATCATGACAACAGCCTATGTCACACATCGCTTCTGGTATGGCAATTTCTGTCAAATGAAAACATTACGGTGTGTCCTCATCCACCTTATTCACCGAATCTGGCACTGTGAGACTTCTGGCTCTTCCCCAAAGTCAAAATGATGCAGGACATTGAGGCAGCCACGACAGCGCAACTAAAGACACTCACGAAAGAGGACTTCCAGAACTGCTTCAGAAAGTGGCAAGAACGATGGGATAAGTGTGTTCAAAGTGAGGGGGAGTATTTTGAGGGGGATTAATGGCAATGAGTCTTTTACTGTAATAATTTTTTTATTTAAAAATTCACCGTATTGTTTGATCACACCTCATACAGTGGGTACTGGCTAAGTGCTTAGAATGTGATTGTGAGTCAAATGAGACAAATGTGCTCACTACTGGAGCTGAGTCTACTGAGGGAGATAACACATCCCAGCTACAAAAACAAAAACAAAAAAGTGCTTCAAAGGCAAAGTACATGGTACCAAGAGAGTGAAATAGGAGGATCTGACCTGGTAAGAGAGGGTTTCCTGAGGAAGTGGTGACTGAACTGAGATCTAAAACAAGACTGGGAATTATCTGAGCAAAGTACAGGAGTACAGAGGGACAGGACCAGACAGATGGGACACTCTGGGGCCACGAGTTGCGCTGTGGGCACGCTGGATGTGTTGGATTTGAAATGTCTTGTCACTCAAGAGGGGATAAGTAGGAATCTGGATACGTGGTTTAGACATGGACATAGATATCTGTGACTCATCAGCACATAGGCAGTAACTGAAGTCCTAAGCATAAAGGAGCTCACCTAGACAGAGAAAAAGAATGAGTAGAGAGTGCCTAGGACAGGGCCCTAAAAAACTTCAAAAATTAGTGGCCAGGTCGCGGAGGATCAGCTTGCAAAGGAAACAGCAGAACAGTGGCCAGAGAGTAGGAGCTGCACTCTGGTGCGCACATCAGGCCCAGCACACAGGAAGCACTCAGCTAGCCAGGTAACGTGCGGCCTCTGGGCAGAGCACACAGCTGGTGCAGTGGTCACGTCACTGTCCACATGAGCACAGGCTTTTATATACACAAACCGGATGGTTTCTGTCCATCCGGCATTTATGTGGATCACCTACCACTACAAAGGGCTGAGTGTGAATTTAAATGGCTCTAAACAGTGCCTAAGATGTCTTCATGAAAACTTACTGCATCCCTAGAAGGCTGTCGGCCACATGTCAAGAGCAATCACAAGAGAGCAGAGAACTGCCCAACATCTTTCAAAGCCACGAGTGTCCAGGCCACGCTGCAATAAGAGGGAACCCAGGCAGAGCACAGTGGTCTCCCTGGGAGCTGAGGAAATGGAGTTAATAGTTCAGAGGCCAAAGTGGCTGGAGTTTGTAAGGCAGAGTACAGAGACTACAGAGAAAGCGCACTCGGATGTGTAGGGGGCTCCCCTTGTGTCTTCTGCTGAGCATTGATCAGTACGTGCACGTGAAGAAAATGCCCAAGAAAAGGGAAAGACCCAATAGAAAGAGCGACTCCCAGAGCTGCCACAGGACCGACAGGACTTCATAATCTCATAAGCAGAGTGGGAAATCGTGAGATACATGCAGCATCGGGGAGAATACTCAGACGTCTGTTGCCTTGGGAAGTGGAACAAGTCAGTCCCCAACTAATGCTGCTCTGGTCCTACATAACAAAGCTTAAAAGCAAAACTCGGGCTGGCCGAGTGGTGCGTCGGTTAGGAGTTGGCTTAGGGTGGCAGCTCTGAGCAGNACAGCTAAGATGCTGAACAACAGCTCAACCTGGAGCTAGGCTGCCGTGAGTCACTGGCGATGGCGTAGGCTGCAGCCCCTGTGGCAGTGGGTTGCCATGGGCTACCGTGTGTAGCCAGCAGCCAGTGTGAGCAGCCAGCAGCCGCTGTGAGTGGCCGTCCAGAAGCCGGCGACTGATCTTCCTCGCCCGGGAAGAGCCCAATGATGGTGCCAACTTGGGCCAGTGAAGCAACGTCGTCCACAACTAGACTGAAGAACAAAACAACAGCAACTTGTCTGTTCCCCTTCCCCTAATTCCCCAGCGCTGTTCCCATCCCCCTAATTCCCCAATAAAAAAAAAGAAGCCATTTCTTTCTCATTTGAGACCAATCCTGCCCTTCGTTCCAAATACGGACAAACACAGTTATCATGTTAGAGAAGAATCCATTAATTAAATGAAAAATTTATTCCAGACAGCAGATAGCATTAAACTTGAAGGAAAAAATATTTTTAGAAAAAGAATCTTGAACTGAGAATTACCTGCATACTTACATGAAGAAAGCCAAAGTGGAGAACACACCACACGTGTGGAAGGCGTGGTTCAGCTGCTCTGGTTTAGGATAGACCACGGCTGCATCGATCATTATCCACCAGCCTGTGAAGAACTTGAGAAAGGGCCCCAGTCATTAAAACAACACTCATGCTTTGCCTTAGCCCCATACCTGCTCTTTCACGTTACCCTTTTCCTATAGACCATGTAAGTAAAACATAAAATAGTTTTACTTTGAATTTTGAGTGTTGAAGTATAAAAAAGTAAGAATCCTTGTTTACTTATTCTTTACAGCAAATGAGGTGAATCTAATCACATGTGTGTACGACTCTGAAGTTCTGCTCTCCACACAAGATGAAAAATTATCTGGATATCAATTATCTGCTTCTTTCATCCACCATAATAATTATACGCAGCCGAAGCTCTCTTAACTAACTTCCAACTAACCTGATTACATGATGTGTTTCACTTGCTCTAAAGAACACTTTTTAATATGCCCATGCATTTCTACTTCCACAAATGAGATGTACGCTTACCAAGAGTCAGCTGTCATGTCTCCAAAACTATTTAAATCTGCTACAGTATTAATTCTGTAATCTGATTAAATGCTATATAACTGAATAAACGTGAGTTTGTAAAATTTAATATTTCTATGTAAACTAAGCTGAATCAGCTTAAAGTAGACAAGTTGNTCCCACATATGAGGGCCAGTGACACTGCCCTCTACAGCTAAGATGGTGAACAACAGCTCGACCTGGAGCTGGGCTGCTGTGAGTCACCAGCAACGGCATAGGCTGCAGTGGGGCTGGCCGGCAGCTGGCGTGAGCTTTCCTGCGCTACCGTGAGCCCCCGTCCAATGGCTAGCAAGCGACTGCTTCACCCGGGAAGAGTGCAATGATAATACCAACATGGGCCAGTGAAGCGATATCCTCCACAACTAGACTGAAGAACAAAAGGACAGCAACTTGTCTGTTTCCTCCCCCAATTCCCCAACAATGATCATAATGCCAACATGGGCCAGTGAAGCAACATCCTCCACAACTAGACTGAAGAACAAAAGGACAGCAACTTGTCTGTTTCCTCCCCCAATTCCCCAATAAAAATCTTAAAAAAAAAAAGAAAAACTCAAAAGGATCAAACTGTTTACAGTGACCTAACCACATCCAGAACAAAGCTGGAAAAACTTGAAAGAAATACCAAAAAGTCCAGCCCCCAACCACCTGCATGCAAAACAAACACGGAAAAAAGAGCCAAAATGAAGAGAAAATAGAAATGATCTACAGGAACAGACTCAGCATTGACACAATTAGATAAAGACACTGAAATAGTTATAAATACACTTCATATGTTCACGAAGGTAGAGGAAAGCATGAGCACGTTAAGGAGAGATGTGGAAAACATTTAAAAAAAGACACAGATCAAACTAATAGAGATGAAACTATAATGTCTGAGATGAAAAACACATTGGATGGGAAGAAGAGTAGATTAGACACTGCAGAAGCAGAGATCAGTGAACTCAAAGATACAATAATATAAACTATCTCAACTGAAACAGAGGAAAAAAACAGAAAAAGAACTAAGTATCGGTGGGCTATGGGCTGACTTCAAGCAGTCTAATATACACGTATTTGGAACCCCAGGAGGGCGGGTAGACAGAAAAAATATTTGAAGAAATAATAGCTGAAAAGATCCCAAATTTGATAAAAACTATAAACCCACAGATCCAAGAAAATGAATGAATCCCAAGCAGAAGAAATATGAAGAAAACTACACCCTAGCATATCATAATCAAATTGCTTAAAACCAGTGAAAAAAGCAAAGTTCTTCAAGGCTTAGATCTTAATGATTTGGGGTGGGGGGGTATAATTTTACAAATGGATGTCTAAAATATCTATCTTTACATTAAAAGACATTCATTCTGAAAAGCATAGGATATGGGCTTCATTTGGGGGGCTTTTTAGAAGATAGCCCCTAAAAAATAATAAAAAAAACCCAGTTCCCCTACCAGGTTTTGTATAAGACATGCATAGTCTGTATTAATTCTCATTTCTTTCTTTTTTTTTTTTTTAATAAACATACCAGATACATTTTTTGCTGGTGGTGGTGTTTTTGTTGTTGGTGGTGTTTTTTAACAAAACACAGGCTATGGAAACAGCAATCTGGGTTCAAATACCAGCTCTGTATGTACTAGTGGGGTGTCCTTAAGTAAATGCCGAGCTTTATTTCCTCATCTATTACATGGGAACACTACCTGGGTTTATATACTTAAGATAATTAAATGAGAATTAAATGGTAACACATATAAAGCATCCGGATTAGGTCTTGGGACACAGCAGCCCCTCAATAAACGGCTTCTGTATCCACTTATGCAACAGCAGAATCTTTACCTTTTAAAAGAAGTTCTATACATTGTAATTAATCCAAGGGATTTATACATGTCCCATTGTATATGCTGCTCTTATAGTAAAGGTGACATTTCTGTAAAAGTTCTAGGTGTGATTAAGAAATTAGGCAACTTACCTAAAAAATATAAGTGCATTTTGAAAAAACACAGCTAGTCCTGGATAAACATCAATATCTGTACATACAAAATAAAACAGAAGATTACAAAAGGCACCTGGCAGTAAAAACTCTATGTGCCATTCATAATGACACGCTCTATATACTACACAATACTGCTGTTATTCCTGAACTCTAAGAAATCTATAATGACACTGAAATAAGAAAATGCCAACCTCATTCGCCCAAAACAAAGGATTGCTCTCACAGTTAATAAAAGACAATGAACTTAGGTTTTCCTTTTGTCTAAAGTGCCTGTTATGGTTCTAGATGCATCAAAACTGTTGAGGAAGCAGCAGCTCATCTCTTTACTTCCTATGGCCAATTTAGAAACACAAAATGTTAGAAAGATACAAATTAAATTCCTGATGGTTTCCTAGTCTGCTCATTTGTTTTCTTTGATTCAGGAGTTTTATTGTGCAAATCTGACAGATAGAAAAAGGGCCATTAAAATTCATCATCATGTTCTTTCACTGAATCTCTCTGGGAGGAAATAGTTACTATCTTCAGAGGAGACAAAAAGAAAAATTAGAAACTACTTACATTTTTGTGAATATTTAACTTTTATAAGACTGTAAATGTTGATGAAAAATACTGGATAGGATGAAGAAACATTCCATTTTTACGTTTTGACCTCACAGCAAACAATATAGCAGCATGATTAAGAGCTCCAAGTATGAGCCAGACCTCTGCATTTGAATCCTAACTCTCCCACTGACTAAATGTTATGACCACGGGCAAATTATTAAACCTCATTATGCCTTAGTGTCCTCTGTAAAATGGGCATGATAACAGCACCTCCCCTCCCAGTGTAAGAAATGTGTGACTACATATAGCGCTTAGAACAGTACCTGACCCACAAAGTGCTACATAAATGTTAGCTAGTATGATTAATAAAGAAAATCTGTACAGTAAAAGATTTGAAATATGTGTTAGACATGTCTCTGAAGTAAAAGCATATTCAGTTTACAAACAGAAAAGTATATTTAATGAGCAATGCTGTAGAAATATGACGATGAGGTCTGTAATTGAGAAATTGCTCAATATGTATTAGTTCTCTGAAGATACACCCAATCAGTGCACAACCTCCACAACCTGAGTACTTCCCTACACACGTTTCAGGAATGATAATTGATTCCTATTTTCATAAATAGTAACCGGTAGGTTTCACGTGTTGATTCAAGTACCTACGCAGACTTTCCAAGGAAACTAATAACAGTAGTTCTCTGAAGATACACCCAATCAGTGCACAACCTCCACAACCTGAGTACTTCCCTACACACCTTTCAGGAATGATAATTGATTCCTATTTTCATAAATAGTAACCGGTAGGTTTCACGTGTTGATTCAAGTACCTACCAGACTTTCCAAGGAAACCAATAACAGCAGCCCACCCTTCTTAAGAGTCAGGGATAAAATTAGTTTAAAACGCACTTCCTATATGATTTCATTTATATGAAATGGCCAAGTCGGGTAGTGGTTGCCTAGGGCTGGTGGAAGAGAATGGGAAGTGACTGCTGAGGGGTAAGGGATTAATCTTAGGGGTGATAAAAGGTCCTAAAAATGGGCTGTGGTGATAGTAGCAAACCACTGTGCTGAAAACATTAAAGTGTACATTTTAAATGGGTGAATTATGTGATATGCAAATTACATATCAATAAAGCTGTTTTTAAAAAAGCGCTTTACATGAGCTGCATGCTAGAACTATGTGCTCCATTAGTATTTTTAATTAGCTAAAATAACACATTTTAGATACACTGGGTGAGCAGTATTATTTAAGCATTAGTCCACCACTGCCCTCTTGTATTGACTTATTCAGTGCCAAGTGAAAGACACAGGTATCTCAAACATCTCACACTGATCAAAGTATGAGACTTAAGGGATCCTATCAAGAATAGTAAAAGGTCAGCTATGGGTCAGGACAATGAGATGTGACAGCTAAACAGAGTGACAAAGAGATTGCAGAGAGAGAGGGGTCAGAAGATGAATAAGCTGTTATCTGAAACTGACTCCTGTCTTTGGAGGGAAGGGAGAGAGCCAAAGGAACAGGTTCTTCCGATGCTCCCAGAGGCATGATCAGACTGTCCGGCTTTTCAACCCCATCCTGGATGAAAAGCTATGGTGCCTGGAGCAGCCGGAAAACTCGGAATGGAGTACTAAGAGCTCCCTCCACTGCAACAGTTTCTGCATGAGAAGAAACTTTCTGCGAAGACTACACACGCCTTCGGTCTTGCCCTTAAAAACTCCCCTTGTATCTATGACTGAAAAACTACAGGCTTAGGTTAGAGAGCAGAGGTATTGGTGGAAAGAAAAACTATGGTCCACAATCCCTTATTTGAAATCCTTGGGGGAAGGTATAGTTTGGGATTCAGAGTTTTTCAGATTTGAGAATGGTAACACAGGGTATAAATATTACATAGCAAACCCAGCTAGGTATGGACCAGCATCCCACGGATATAACCGCATTCCTGCAAGAAAACATTCGAAGGCTTATTGAGTGGAATAAAGCCTACAACGAGCCCATGTCAGTTTAGGTGAGGTATCGCTGCCTCACTGAAAAAATGAAAACATGACTTTTAGCACTTTGTATATTTTAGAATTGTGTGTAAGGGACTGTAGACCTGTACAGGTTTCTTTGACTACTACAACCCTCAGTAAACGGGCCTCTAGGAGACAGCCAGCCTGTCTGCCCAGGGCAGGGAAGGAAATCAGGAACTCTAGAGATGGCTCAAAATCACACAGTCACATCAGTGCCTGGCATTTCCTAACCAGGGTATCTCACTGCAATCACTGACCCCACTAAGAAATTTCACTCAGCAACCTATGTACCTTAACACAGTCATATCTTCAAGCTGACTGAGTGATTCAGCTACATTATACTCCAGGGGGGAGTTAACAGACTAAGGCAAATAGGAAAGACATATCTGAATCTCCCCTATGAAATAAAGGAGGGAAGAATACTTACTTTGGGTAACATATGCACCAAAAAGGATCCACATGGAAGCAATAAGTGACCCAAACATCAACATGAAACCAATGAAGAGCCAAACCCGAGCACCTGTGTGAAGAATAGGCTTTATGATTCTGCTCATTTCTGCAGCTTTATGTCTTAGGAATAAGGACATTAGAAACACTATTAACCTAATATATGTCATGTATACCAAAGACAGTCACATATTTACATATACCTGCTATAACAGTTACCTGAATGAAGATTAGAAAAAAAAAAAAACTAAAAGAGAAAGAGAAAAAGGGAAAGTTACCTTTCTACTGCCTACAGAAACTAAAAAGCCGAATAAATTAAACTAGGCAAGCTTCATAAATAATTATTTGACTAAATTGATTAATTAAACCCTAACTGAAAATTTACCCTGTTGTATGCTATATTATCAAAGTAATTGCTCTATTAGAAGTAGCAAATGTATTTCAGATAGCCATTTCCACATAGGAATGAGACACTGCAAATGAATAAGGACCAAAGCATCCCCTTTTCATCAATGTTAAAATCATGCCCTTACTCAATATGGTGCGACACCTGAGCGTGCCTAAAAGACAGTCTGCCCTTAACTTTTGAAGCACTAGATGAACTTGCACTATATGTGCCACATATAAATACATATAAACTGTATTCTAAATTTTAACTAGGTAGGAAATAATCGTGGAATAAAATGTCAGAGCTCAGTGAGGGTAAAAAGTATGAGCTTTGAAACCAGAGAGACCCAAGGCAAGCACAAGTTCTACCTTTAAGCTAAAAAACTTTGGGTAAGTTACCATGAAATTTTCTACAGAAAATAATAGTAGCATAATCCATAGCAATGTCTCTGGAATATTCTTTAAAGAAAAAGAATCAGGGCCAGCCGAGTGTCACATTGGTTAAGAGCTGGCTTGGGACACCAGCTCTGAGCAGAAGGGCCTGGGTTCAGATCCCACATGGGGCCAGTGACACTGCCCTCTACAGCTAAGATGGTGAACAACAGCTCGACCTGGAGCTGGGCTGCCGTGAGTCACCGGCAAAGGCGTAGGCTGCAGCCCCTGCTGCAGTGGGCTGCCATAAGCTACCGTGAGTAACCAGCAGCCAGCATGAGTGGCCATCAGCCAGTGTGAGCTGCCAAGAGCCGCCGTGAGCGGCTGTCCAGAGGCCGGCGACTGATCTGCCTCAGCCGGGAAGAGTGCAAAGATAATACCAACATGGGCCAGTGAAGCAATGTCCTCCAAAACTAGACTGAAGAACAAAAGGACAGCAACTTGTCTGTTCCCCTCCCCAATTCCCCAGCACTGTTCCCCTCCCTCAATTCCTCAATTAAAAAAAAAAAACTTAAAAGAATCAAATAAATTATTGCGTGCTCTATGCACATTTTCACTTGCTAATTTGTGCTTTCTTATTCTTTACTCTCCCCCATTCCTGACATTATCTGCTGAGGCTGGGGCACAAGATACACATACACACACACACACACACACACACACACACACACACACACACACACACAGAGTGCACTTTTAACTTAGGTTTGTCTGTCATTTGTCACTATCCCCCTCTGCCCCAATCCTTAAAGGATCTCAATGGAAGTGAAGTTATAAATTCTGCATCAGCTTTTAAAGCAGCAGATAGAAAAGAAAGTTAATTTGTCCCCCTGTAACTGGCTTATTTCACTCAGCATAATGTCCTCCATGTCCAGTGATGTTGCATATGGCAAGATTTCCTGCTTTTTTTAAAAGCACAATTCCCCTTATATGAGGCACTTAAAATAGTCAAACTCATATTATAGAAAGAGAGTAGGAAAGTGCTTGCCAGGGTCTGGGGAGGGGAAAATGGGCAGTCACTGTTCAACTGGTATAAAATTTCAGCTGTATGAGCTGAACATACGTTCTAGAGATCTGCTGTACAACACCGTGCCTGTCATGGAGTTAGCAATACTGTGCTGCATGCTTAAAAATTTATTAAGAGAGATCTCATGTTACGCGCTCTTATCACCAAAAAATTTAATTAAAATTCTTTTAAAAAAGGCTAAGCTCTTCCCAGCTTCTTTATTTGGCTTAAAATGTTATACTTACTTTATGATTCCACTTAGATGAAATTCTAGAAAGGGCAAAACTACGGGGATAGGAAGAAGATCAGTGGTGGCCAAGAGGTGGGGGGAGGGGATTAACTACAAAGGGGTATGAGGGAACTTTCTGGAGTAATGGAAATGTTCTATATCGTGATTGTAGTGGTAGCTACACAACTGTATACACTTGTCAAAACTCATCAAACTGTACACATTAAATTGGTGGATTTTATTTTATATGAATTATACTCAAGTCAACAAAAAAATAAATATGTATTACTACACCAGACAAAGATACCAAATGGTTCTCGAACAGAAACAAGCATAGCACGGTGGCAAACAGCATGGGCTCTGGAGCCAGACTGTGGGTGTTCAAATCCTGGCTCCATGACTTGCTTTGTGGCTTTGGACATGTTATTTAATCTCTCTGTGTCTTAGTTCCTTCATCTAAAACCGGAACGATAAGAGCACTTACCTCATAGGACAATTAAACAAGTTAATATGTGTAAAGCAGCGGTTCTCAACCTTCCTCATGCCGCGACCCCTTAATACAGTTCCTCATGTTGTGGTGACCCCCAACCATAAAATTATTTTCATTGCTACTCTATAACTGTAATTTTGCTACTGTTATGAATCGTAATGTAAATATCTTTTTGTTTTCTGATGGTCTTAGGAGAACCCTGTGAAAGGGTCGTTCGACCCCCAAAGGGGTCGTGACCCACAGGTTGAGAACTGCTGGTGTAAAGCATTCAGGACAGTCTCTGGCACACACTAAGTATTCTACAAGTATTTGCTATTCTTCTTAATCATCCTTCAAAATTCCTCTCCCACCTACTCCAAATTTCCGACCACAACCACAAATCACCCTCCCTAGTCCTTGAAGGTTGGAAAAAGGACTTCTAACCTGGTGTTTTTTCCATATAGTATGGAAACGCCACTGAAAACAAACTCCTGGATTCTAACAGAATATGTTATAACCTGAATAAAAGAAGAATACCATGGGATGACAATTCAAAAGAATTCAACCTCCAAAAAAAATAATTTATGGGCCGGCCAAGTGGCGCGTTGATTAAGAGCTGGCTTGGGATGCCAGAGGGCCCCGGTTCGGATCCCACATATGAGGGCGAGTGACACTGCCCTCTGCAGCTAAGACGGTGAACGGCAGCTCGACCTGGGGCTGGGCTGCCATGAGTTGCCGGTGGCGACGACATAGGCTGCAGCCCCTGCTGCAGGGGGCTGCCATGGGCTACCGTGTGTAGCCGGCAGCCAGTGTGAGTAGCCAGCAGCCGCAGTGAGCGGCCGTCCAGAAGCCGGCGACTGATCTGCCTCGCCCGGGAAGAGCGCAATGATGTTGCCAACTTGGGCCAGTGAAGCAACGTCCTCCACAACTAGACCGAAGAACAAAACAACAGCAACTTGTCTGTTCCCCTTCCCCCCGATTCCCCAGAGCTGTTCCCCTCCCCCAATTCCCCAAAATATAATTTAAATTATATTTAAAATAATAATAATAATAATTTATATGTAACAAACAGAATGTTCTTCTAAAGCAGTTTTGTTACAGTGTGTGGTGGTTCCTCAGGTGATGAGAACTGAATGGGAAGAACACCGCCCTCGGTTTGATTTCCTAATGTGTCCATACTTTGCTGGTAGTGATCATGTCAAGCACCTCATAAGGAATATTATTGGTCAACATTTGGGATAAGAATAACCCATCATTAGCACTGGAAGTCCAAGACCCACTGATTTTATTTTATTTATTTATTTTTAAAATAGACGTTTTTAAAAAAAAAAAAATAAAATAAAATAGACGTTTTATTTATTTGTACTTAAACTTATAAACCAACCAGCCAAACTGGTACTATTGTCATAATACAGTAAAGTACAAAAACATCTTTTACAAATACTTAAGTAATGAACAAATTAGGGGTTGTAGTAAAACAGCAAAAGGGGCAGAGGAAATCAATGAAGCACATTATAGCTCATTAACCTCTCACTTGAGCTGAGGTTTTTTAAAATGCTTCCCAACCCCAGAAAAATGAATAAACCTTCATCACACATCTTCGTACTTTTACTTTCTATTCTTGCGGTAAGATTCTAAGTCCTAAAGAGATCCAAAATATTATTCTATCTAGTTATCTATAGCCAGAGACACCTTTTATCATCATTTTGTCTGCAGTACTCTTTCCTTTCAGTGACTTTTTAGTTTTGTCCATTGCTGAAGCATACAAACCCAGGCACAGACAATTCTGATTTCCTTGTACCCTTCAGTTAGTTGACCCACTATTCTTTTTCAGAAGGGCTCAGCAACTGCAGAGTACCCAGGCCTCTCTTCCTGTCACCAGGGATGCCTGGTGAACGCTTCTGGAAACTCTTCAATGTGGAGCAACCAGACCTGCAATAACCCAACTTGGAACAACCATTCCTGGAACAACCAACGCTCGAGCTACCATTCCAGGAACAGTCAGACCTGGAGCCCCCAGCCTGGAATAACCAGTCTTGGAACAACCAGGCCTGGAACAATCAGCTCTACAGCTGTGGGGAGGAAGCCCTGCTGCCCCAGATCCAGTTCCAGCAAAATCGACCTGTCAGTGATTTGGAGGCTGCCTTGGAAACCGCTGGGGAAAGCTATCAGGTGATACAGCAAACCCTTAGGTATTATAGTACCCAGCAAATCATGGATTTATTTCCAAATTACTCCATGAACATACAGCCTGACGATGTGTGACGATGGGTATATTATGCAATCAATCTGGGCAGTGACTGTATCACTTCTAGGATTTTTCTATGTATCTCTGCATTGATTTTCAATAGTAACATATTATACTACATACTATGGGTAGTATAACATGACAAAAATAGTAACTTCTAGAACTTTAACTTTCTTAAGGATTTAATACTAAAACTTTTTAAAGTTAATAAAAAAATATTCCACATAATCATTACCAGTCCTAAAGACTCACTAGAGGCTTTGTTTTTTTCCTGCTGTAAATCCCTCTTTCACCAGCGTACAGTAACCAGCCTTTACCTGTTCTTCCTAAACAGCCGCTTTCGTAGCTGTCACCTCTCACCTGAGCATTGGACACAGCATTTATCCTAGAACAAAAGAAATCATCTAATAAGCTTTCACGATGCTAAAATATTCACAGGTATTTACTTATTTAGAAGGCAACATTTCCTAACTAAAGTCAATATCTGAATAACTGAGCATACCTTTTAATTGAATGTCCTAGTGGATGCAAATGTTACTTTAGTCTTGTCTTCCTAAAGTACAGCCAGAAAACACCCTTAATTTTAAGAAATAACTATTAGTTTTCTCCAGAGATTATGAAAGTGGGGGGGGGGCATTTTTCTGATTTCTTTGCCTATTTTACATTTATACATGAATGACTCAATGTGCGTTTTCCCATTTTTAAGTTTCTCATTATAATCAAGAGTTTAAGTTTCTCTTTGTGTTAAAAGTCAAGTGATTTACTCTGATCCATTTCTCAAATTCAAAAATATTTGATGTACGTATAATAAACAGGCCCACTTTATTCAGCTTCTCTTTCTATTTTTGTTAGAGCAAAGTACATCTGTAGCAGGAATTGCCTTTTCTTAGCATCCTGAATGAATATAAGTAGTTCCATCTTCTACAATTTAAACTTTTTAAAAATTCCTGCCAGTATAAGGAAATTATATAATCTTAATGTTTAACATATTTTTTTAATTATTAAAAGACATCCATGAAAAGCTTTCAAACTCTTTTATGAAATGACTTAATGAATAAACCTGAAAATTATTTAATTAAAAAGAAGCCATTTCAAGGGCCGGCCGAGTGGC